CACATACAAACTGATGGAATGGTCTTTAAAGTACAATGTTTACATCCAATTCCAAATCCTCCTACAGCGTGGGTGTTCAGAATCAGTCAGTCGATTTATGCTCCTTTCATTTATGTTCCAGCTGGTGCAGTGCTGGTTGAGGAGGACTTTTACCCCTGTGGACCTGTCCTCCTCTGGTGTGTCCTCTCAGCTGTCCTGGCTGTTGTGCCTTACAGGGTAGGACAGCTTTTGGGCAGCCCAGGATGTTGGTTCCAGCTCCTAGAGTTGATATTAGAAATGTTAAATCTTTGGTCAGATGGTTAGTATTGGTTTATATGGATTTCACAGTGCAAACATGTTTTTAATAGTCAGGGTTTGGCTAGAAATTCTTGGAAAGGAATCAGGGACAGGCTTATACAGTTTTGGACATTATTTGAAAGTTTCCAGTGAAATTAGTACTTGTTCTTAGTCAAATTATGTTTGCTTGTTGACCCCTCTTACCTAATTAGTCCCTACTTCACTGAGCTGCTTCTACTTGCATGCACTGAATCAGCAATTTCACATTACTCTTTTACCACTGAAATGGTGGCAGAAGTACATTTGAGTTGAGATGCTGTCTTTTCCATGTTATAACCCTGCACCTTGTGATTTGTGGAGAAATAAATTGTTTTGTTGTGCAATCAGCCATCTGTTTGAGGCTGAGGGGAAGGATGTGTGGTAATATCAGAGCAAATATTAGGTGCAGTTGAGCAGCCAATCAGACAATCCTTGAGGGTCTTGTTCTTAGGTGTGGAGAAGTGTCTAAAGCTCAGATGTTCATCTCCTGAGGTTCCCACATCTCTGTGCACTGCACAAGCAGCATTAAGAAAGGGCAGGGTTGAAGCCTCCTGCCCCATGTCCTGCTCCTTGTCTCTGGCCTCCAGACGTGCTCACAGGTGCTCGTGGTGCTCCAGGCAGGCTGTAAAATGAACCACCAGCCTCGTTTGCTGGATAAATCACAGCCCCATCCTCACACCATGGCCCAGCAGTGGGAGCCTCACCCCTGCCCCATCCAGGGGAGGCTGGTGGGTGTCTGGAGCTGCCTCCAGGGACACAAACACCACAGCCACCAGCCTGGCCCTCACACAGATGGTTTAAGAATTTCCAACTCTCTCAGACTCCCCTGCAATGGGGAAGGTGACCTGACAGGGGTTTGGTCTCATTTGCAGAATATGTAGCTGGGGTGGCCAGGGGAGTAGGTGGCTGTTGATGGCTCTGTGAGCCAAAGTCAGAGCCAAGACTAGAACCTGGTTCTTGAAATCCCAGGCTCCATTCTCTGGGGCCAGTTGTCTCTCTAACTACGTTTTAATGAAAAATGCCAAATGTTAATTTAGAGAAGGATTCAAGAAAAATGTCCTATTCAATTACTTAATTATAGGTGAACTAGAATTGTAAGACACAAACATGTCTTGCAACAAAGCACCAGGCAGAAAAGCAGAAAGGATTATTTGTTGTTTAATTTAGCAGAGGAAGGCAGCTGATCATGCTAAGTCTATCTGACATCTAGCAAGTTGTGTGATCCTATTTGTTAATCTTTTTAACTTTCCGTTTTATTAGGATAGGGTTTCAAGAGCAAATAGGATAAATGAGATTAAATCTGTCACCCTGAATTACTCTCCACTGAGTTATGAACAGAATCACTCTGTGTCAGAGAAGTATAATTATGAGGGAAATGTTGCCTGTGTAATTGTGTGCTTTGTTTGGAAAAATGCGAGATCTGTAATTATCTCCAGTGTGCCATGGTGGCGTGTGCTGGCTCTGAATCTCTGCAATAAACAAAGCCAAGGAAAGTTTCTCTTTGGAGCAGTCCTTGGTGCAGTATGGCTGGTACCAGCAACAGTAGCCACATTACCCTTCAGGTCTTCTGATTCAAGTGAGGGATCCAAATTAACGTGGAATAGGACACACATTGTACAATTACTTTCTCTCAGAGAAAAATCTGGTGGTGCTCCATTAGGGGATTAGACACTGGTCCTGGCTCTATTTAATTCATATAGCCCTATAAAAGTTGTGCTATCCTTCCTGCTGTATAATTCCACTGTGAGATGAGTTGAAGACACAAAACTGTAGCCTCTTGAAATGTTGGGTTCACCAGCCAAAGAAGCTTTAAATCATATGTGCTGTTTGTCTGGATTAACTTCTGTTAGGAAAAAGGAAAAGTTCTATTTAAAAAAAAACAAACTGTATTTGTTCCTGCATAATAGGCATAATTGCTGCTGGAAGTAGAGCTCCTGGAGAGAGAATATGCACAAAGAAACTTGCTACAGGTCCTAAACTGTCTAAACTTCTGCATTTTTCTTCTTGAGGCAGAGGGGCAGAAGCCAGGCTTTTACATTATGGATTAGTGATAAAACAACCTGCTAGGCTCAGATTAGAATTTCTGTTACTTTGCCAAATATTGTATGTGCATTAATGGAGAGGAACAGGGAGGCTGCATCATTTTGGTAAGTCCTATTGGAAATTTCATTTTCTGTTTCAGACCTTTTTACAATTATGAGCCAGGACTTGATCTCCACATCTGTTTTTATTGGCCAGTCTAGTTTACAAATGAGGCCCCTTTTGTCCCATCTAATTTTATGCAATCTGTGATGCTGCATAACAATTCTGGGAAGAAGAAATGGAAGGATTGTGAACTGACCTTGTGGCTAGTATGTACAGTGACTCACTCTATCCTTTATTTCAACTTCCGTGAAGTCTTTTCAGATACACTGTTTACCCATTAAATGAGCTGTGCAGTTTATCTTATGGCTAAAATTCTTCCTAATATTTTGATATATTTGTTGGGAACATGACAAAATAAATCACAAATGAGAATGTTTAAAAATGCTTACATTAATCATCTGAGACAGTCTCTCTCATTATAATCTTGTTCAGAGTAACTAGTTATCTGTAAGAAAGGGTTTCCTATCCCTTGATTTGCCAACCTACGTGACTTTACTGTCAAGGACATCTCTCCTCCATGCTTGAGAAGCAATGGGTAACTTCATAATCTTTCTCTGTGTAGGCAGTTTCTTCATGGGAAGAAATTAAGTCAGTCATGCCCATTACTGAATCTAATTTTACTATAATTTAGAGGGAAGAACTCTTCCCTGAGCAGAATTGATTTTATAGCCGCTTACTTCAGGATTTATTTTGCTTTCCTCCAAAGGATGTGGCAGAAGCTGTTGTTAGTGACAGGCCTGCAGCTTGCTTGGCAAGGTCACTGCAGCAGCACCTTTCCTAGCAAGTGAGAAACTTGTGCCTTGCTTTGCTTTTCAGTCATCAGCAGCTGCTCTGAGGGAAACTGAGCAAGGCAGCAAGTCAGTAGGACCTCGCCACTTGTTGAAATTCCACTTTTTGGGAAACATAAGGTTCTTAGGGTAGGTAGCTCATGGAGTCAGGCTGTCTTTGGCTGATTTTTTTTCCTTCTCCCTTAATCAGGCCGGAGGTTTGGCTCTGGCCACAGACGTGTCTCGCTCATGGCTTTACAAGCCACGGGTAGGACTTGTCCATCTTTTCCTCACTCCAGGCCAGGCTGAGTGAAGCACACACAAGGAAAGCAGTTTGCAGCAGTGCAGTGGTAAAAACCCAGCTGTGAAGAGGAGGGGAGTGCAAAACAATCTCTTTTTGCCAGCACACAAAGAAATGAGAGAAGCTTTCTAACACTGGCCGCAAGAGCAGGTTTGACAGTGTCCCTTCAAGGTCAGCAACACCATTCTCAGCTGTTCAAAACAGCCTATTGGTAGCAAACCCAGTGCAAATTCGTGGAAGAAAGCTGCTTGCTTGTTGTTTTCTCCTTCTTTGCACAGGCTTCAGCCTGGCAGACAATCAGATCCAACTGTAGATGTAATGCAGGCAAAATACCAGAATACATGGGCCAGTGTGTGATTTATGTTAATGGCAGCAGGCGTTGCTGAATGCCTGCCTGCTCGGCAGCCTTGGAAGAGTCCTTGGCTGTCAAGACACGTGGAAATCTAGGAAGCAACACAGTGAGGGGTCTTTTTTTCAATTACATACTTTGACCCACATTCTTCCTTATTTATATATTTGCAAGTATCATGAGATTGATCAGATTTTTCTCCTCAGTGCCCCTGTAGAACCAAACCTCCTCTTGCAGATAGGAGAAATACATTGGGTGGGGTGTTCAGAGGTTGTGAATGGCTGAGTGAATGCACACTGCTTTTTATTTGGTGAAGCTGCCTGTAAGGCAGGCTCTCTTCTGCCTCATCATGCCCTTCTCTGGTGGTGGGAAGTGTTCTTTGCAGTTTGAACAATTTTTCTCTAATTAACAGGCATTTCCCCATCCTTTCTCCAAAATCTCCTACTCGTTTTCCTTTTACCCTTTATCTTCAGTTCCTCTCAGTTACACTCCCTGGGTAAGCAACAAACCTTTCTGGTGCTTCTGAACATTGTTCACATGGCATATGGCATCTACTTTCTTTTTGATACTGCATTTTTTCTGCTGACACCTGCAAAGCCCATGCTTGGTCTGACAAAACTTTCCCCCAAGGAGAGGTTTTATCGTGTTGGTTCTGAGTGTTGAAAACCATGGAAGCTTAGTGAGAAGCGAATGTGATTCCCTTTTCCCCTGCTTTGGGGATCAGTGGTTTGAATCCTATTGTGCTTTACACCAGGGAAAATTGAAAGTAACCCCAGCTGCAACAAGGCTGTAGAGAAGGGAACAGAAAAGCAACAATGGGATGAAGCTTTTACACAGAGTAGTAAAACGCCAGGTTGCAGATAAGGCAATAGGGTGGCAAAGCCCTGTGAGCCCTGTGAACAATCGGTGCTTTCTGTGCTCTGGAACAATGCAGCTTTACAGAGGGTGTTGCAGTGATCACTGAAGCTGGCTCCGTGGAAATTTCTGTTACATTGCACATTCAGCCTTGCTGCATGGCTGGGGGGGCGGGGGCAGAGTTCTTCTCTTTGTGATGGGAGTGAGTGGGAAGAAACTCCGTGTTACAGCTGAGAGAGCCCTTACCCGTAACTTTTCTTCTCCACAGGTGCCCCTGGTTGACAAAAGCCATCTCCCCAGCCATCCCAGTGTACAATGGACTCGTTTTCTTGTTTGTACTGGCAAACTTCAGCATGGCAACTTTCATGGACCCTGGAGTTTTCCCACGAGGTAACAGAACTGGACTGTTGCAAGGATTGAGGGAGGGAGGGCATTGAAAATCCAAGCCAAAGGAGGTGCCAGGTATCCAAACACACAAGTTGCTGTGTAATCTTGTAGACTTTATTTATTTATTTACCATACTTGACTGTCATTAGGGGCGGGATGGCAGTGAAATGCTGGATACCCTCCAGCTGCCTTCTGAGCTCCTGGGTGTCCTTGCACTTGCTCAGACTGGCACTCGAGGGCACAGGGTTGTGTAGATTGGTTCTCCTTGGATAGCTCTCCTGAGAGATGTGATTTTGATTGCTATCCCCTGTGTCATGCTGGCACACTGGATTTAAGTCACTGTCTTCTCAATAGGTAGCAGAGCGTGGCAGAGGGGAGAGGCTAAACTTTCTAAAACAGTTTCATCAAAGCAGTCCTTCCAGAATACCTTAAAAGAAAGGCAGAGGCATTGAACGCTAGAACAGATAATGATTAAGGCTTGCCTTAGAGTGTCTAAAAATGTATACATTTAGAAAGATATTCCTACTTAAATTAGTACTGATTCACAGCTGATTAAATAGGATAGAGATCACTCAGCTTTTGTAATGGGAGCCATAGTGCAGCTATCTCTTTTAACACATCCTAATGAGAGAATTATCACCTCATTTTATCTGTCTTCCAATAATTATTCACATGCAGTTTGCAGCAGAGACTGCTCTAGGCGGTCTGTCTAAACCAATGGATCTGTGCTGTTTGCAAGCTGTGCTTCTTCACTTCTATTCACCAAATTCAGTGTCTACTTCGAATTGCTACCTGACAAGAACAAGGTACCAGTCCTGCTGGCCTCCCTGAATAGCAAGGCCAGGTTTCTCCAGGTAGCAGGGTCTAATGATGAGCATCTCTCTGCCATTCCTCTCAGCTGAAGCTTCTGAACACCTGATTAAGTGTTGCAGCACTCCAATTAAGGAAATTATTGTGTGCAAAGGCAATCCTAAGGCAGGGGAAAGATTCAGTCACTTGTGTAAGATCAACTGATACAGTGTGTAGGTACTTAAAGCTACAAATGCTAGTGACTTTCAAAAGAACTTACGCGGGTGGAGTTTTAAGGAGTTTCCTGGACTTGCTACTTTCTTTATCTCAGCAGAGATAGCAGTGTTAATTAAACATTAAACATTCTCAGTCTGAGAATCCAGGATGTTTGTGCAGGGCAGTGCTCTCAGAGCAGAGCTGGACATCACCAGGCCCCAGGAGTGATCAGTGCTGAGTGTATTGTCAGTTCATACCTTCCTTTGGGCTTCTCTAACTTCCTTTTGCAAAGAAGTTCTTCATTTTGGACTTTGCATTTAAGGAAGAAACACAGCGAGAGATCAAATAGAAACTTTCTCATCACCTTCCCTCCTGTCCCATCTCTCTTTACACAAGAGAGTCAGGAGCAAAGCAGGAAGAGGAGGAGTTCTTAAAATTCACCCTTCTACTGTCTCTCACTTCATTTGTGGCCTTGGCCTTGCATCTCTGTGCTGTGCCTATGCTTTGTCAGGAAGATGTTGGGAGCAAGGAGAGAGAAAAGACATGGCATTTGTCCTGGGAGAAAGTAATGGAGTAGGAGTTTAGATGTGTGAAGGAAGCAAACTGATAAGGGAAAAGATGGAAAAGACTATAAATACCAGTGCTGGGAGGAAAGAGGAGCAGATGTTATTTCAGATCACAAGTGTGCATGTGAAAAAAAGCTTCTCACCACCCCACGCCGCCCGCAGAGCTGCCAGCGCAAGGAGTTCAGGAATTGTAGGAGTGACTTAAAATGAATACACAATCACTCTTTGCTTTTTGCTGTTGAAATTATGTTTAGTTTCTTGGTTTTCAAGCTTCTTAGCACATTTCTGATAGTTAGGAATTTACTTCAAAACCAAAACAACAAATAAACAGTACAGAAGCTGAGATTCTAATGAAATCATGCAATTCCTGTAAGGAAGAAAATTTTTTAGCAAAATATGAGACTTAGCTGCTCCATGTCAGTGGATCAGTGTATGAGAATCTGTGTAGTAAGATACATTCTTTAGTCAGTGTATTCTTCTGCTCAGGTCACTGGAAACTGGAAATAAGCACATTTCCAGCTATGTGATATGACCTTACAGGTCTGGCATATAGGACCTCGCCTATGGGGGGAAATGGTGGAACTTGGGCTGCAGAAACCCAGCTTGAAGAGGAGCTTAATCAAACTCCCAGATCTGTTACTCATTTTTAAAAATATTTTTAAAAATCTGTTGGCTCTCTGAATCTTTCTGGTATGAATCAGGATTGGCTCTGTGTGAGTGAATTTCTGGTAATACACCAGAATGAATGAATAGCAAAGGAAGTATTAAGTTACTGAAATTGGGGCTGCCTTGAAAAATCTGATTTACAGTCTAGGCTAAGACTGGCAATGTTTTTTGCTGGCTAATTATACCAACTACAATTGGCTTTCAGTATTTTTGATGTGAATCTGTTTTATACAAACTCTGTGCCTGAATTCTGCTAAAGGAACATGTTTAAATGCATGTAGGTATATATAATGTACAGATTTTTTGTCAGCATAGTCAGATTTTTTATAAAAGCTTAAATGGTTTGACTGTTCCGGTGTCTTGTTTTCATCTGCCCACATGTATTACACAGCTTGGGCACGTTTATAATGGTATTGGAGAACCTACAGACTGTATTTATAGAAGTGCCTAAGGGATTTAGAGTCTGGATCTCTCTAAGAGTCCCACTGACTAGTTATGAAGGAAAATTATAGGGAATGGTGCCAGTACAGCACTCTGCTTCCACACACAAACGTTAATCCAGAGAATACTCTTTTAGATAAATACTGTGGCTGAGCCAGATCCCAAGCTCATCTAAGTGAAGGGAGAAATTCCCTCTGAAGTCAGTGGAAATTGGATCATGATAACACATCTAGAGAAGATTTAATATAGAACTGCATGACAGTAATTGATGCTCCGCTGGGACAACATTATCAAATTCCACCTAATTTGGAGCCAGTCAACCAATGCCAGCTGCACTATAATGTTTAACCAGGTGTTAAATAGATATGAACTTCTTAGATTTTCTGTCAGGAGGAAACAAATAAAGATCACAGGAATCTAGAATAATATTTTTTCTTCCCAGTATATATTTGTCTGTTATAGACTGGGTTTTATTTTGTGCATTTATTTTTAAATGGACTCTTTTCTTGAACAGGGCAGAGATGATAAACCATCAGTCCCCAGTAAGGCGACCATGCAGTGTCCCTGTGTCCCAGGTGCTGGCAGGATTAGCTCTTTTCTCTTTGCCCTCAGCTATCCCCACTAACTCTCAGTTTCGTGTTGAGCAGCAGACGAAGATGAGGACAAAGACGACGACTTCCGCGCGCCGCTGTACAAGAACGTGGAGATCAAAGGGATCCAAGTACGGATGAAGTGGTGTGCCACCTGCCACTTCTACCGCCCGCCCCGCTGCTCCCACTGCAGCGTCTGCGACAACTGCGTGGAGGTAACCCTGCTGTGCCTCAGGGCACTCTGCCTCTGCCTCGAGCTTGCACCTGCTCTTGCAAAATTGCACTTGGGTTGCCCCAGTTCGTGAAGTTCACAGCTGTGGCCTCGTTGGACTCCCAGTGAGCAATACCATTTGGAGCAAATACCATTGAGCAATACCATTTGAAGCGCAGCCCTCAGTTGTGTGTGCTACAAATGCAACAATGCTTCTTGTCAGCCCTGTCGCCGGTGATAATTAAAATAAAAATTGATAATGCTGGCTGCATGTTCCTTGAAGTAGCTAAGTAATTGTGAATGTAAAATAGGGATTAATGGGAGAGTTGATGCAGAGTTCAAGAGAGCAAGAAATTCAGGGTGAACCGTTTTAACTTCTCATGTGTGAGCTTAAGTCTCATCATTTAATTTGGAGCAAATTGGTGACTACATTAGTGGACAAGCAGAGAAGCCACAATGGTGTGTGAGTTCAGGAGAACCAAACTCAGAGTTCAGCAAATGGTTCTCTGTCAATGGAAGGAGCCCATGTTTGTTTCAACACCCCAGCTCAGAGCATGAACTCATTCATGTTTCTAATGTTGATTGCTCTGAATTAGGGGGCTTTCTTGATTCTTGTTACCCTTAGGGTCTTGGTGAGTCACACAGGATTTTTAAAAAATAACCCCTGAACAGTTAAGATGTGCTTTTGGGCTATAAGCATCTCCCAGACATGTAGGTACAGAGCACTGTATTCACAGCAGTGTATTGCCAGGGGACTTTTTATTGCTGAACTAAAAATTCTGCTTCTAAAGGATCATTTCTGCTGCAAGGCCTATTTTTTTTTTCAATAGAAAGATGAAATCTTTAATATGTCTAAAATATATTCAGCTGTGCCATTAAAATGAAAGGAATTACTAATCAGAAGGGGAAAAAATACCAGAGTCAGCTGGAATGCTGTGTACACTACCTTTGTCCTAATCCTCTTTGCCATAAGCAAGGGAATAGTCCCAAAGAAATCAGCATAGTTACAAGTGAGGAAAAGGCTGCCTGAATTTATCTTGTGTCAGTCATATATCTAAGTTATAATTATCTGGAAGCAGTGCTGTGCCTAGTAACCATCGATAAATAGGACAAGGCTGTCCTGTTTTGGAAGGCATTAGAAGGATGTGGGATTTTAGAAGCCTGAGAGTGAGAAGCTGCCAAGGTCCCTGGGTAGAGGGGAATAGCCACAGCTATTTGTAAGTTGTGACACACAGTTTGTTTAGACTGCTGTGAATTGTTGGATAGAGCTGCGTTTTTGGTAGAAAACCTGAATCGTTCATTCCTAGTTTTAAAACATAAATGTTTTCATTAATTCAAGATCCTGAGGATTGTTTAGATGATGGTAAATTCTCAGTTGTCCCATGGAGTTTCTTTCTTCCACCTTTCCTGATGGCTCAGCATAAAAATTCATTTTCAGGAAATGAAGTTTTCTCAGAACAAGATTGCTCAAAACTCACTGGTATAAACACTTGAAGTTTCATGCTGATGTAAGGCCTCCATGGGAGTCAGTTCTGCACCAGAAATGAAAATGGGAGGGAATCCAAAAGGAGCCTGCATAAAATAGCAGAAGGCAAGGTGACTCTGGCTAGCTTTCCACGAGTTCTATTGATAGTCAGATCAGTTGAATGTTCCCTACTATTCTGGTGCACAAGTGAGGAGGGAGCTCTGCTTGTAATTGAATTATTACTGCTGTGGAAGAATGTAGGCAGAAAGTATTAATGACTTCTGAATCAATAAATCATGGCCTTAAACATGTTTTATTGATTCTTGTGATGCTTATTTCCCACTCACCTGTCATATTCTAGAAGAGCTTTGAGACAGTAACAGGAGTGACTCTGCTGGCTTTCCGTGTAGGATCCACGCAGGGTTGTAGTTCACTTTCAGTCTAGAATGTACAATAAAAATTATTTTCCCAAATATAAAACTTTTGAACCAATTTGATAAAAATGAATAAACAGCAAAAGCAGACAACACCTGCAGAAATAAAACTAATTAAAACTTAAAGCATGTTACCAGAGGGAGTCAAAAATGAATCTGTGACAAAAGTAGTCAGATTTTTGTTTTCTTAATTGAAATGTTTGCAGTGAGTACTTACACAGTTTAATAATCCATAGGTATTTTGGGCTGCATACAGCCAGATTTACATAACAGACAGATGTTATGTCAGCATTTGAGATATAGCCTGAAATTATATTAATATTTAAGTTGCCCCTGTCATTTTCTAATATGCTTTGAGAAAGCTCTAATCCATTTTTTCGTAGTTTGTAAATTTTTGCTAAATGTGTTGTGCATAACTTAGAATGACTGTGTCATCATTGAGCAGTGCTTAAAAATAGCATTGCCACAAAGTGCAGAATAACCAGTTCATTTGTTGTTGCAATGAATGTGTAATATCTGCTCTGAGGAACACAGAGATAAGAAGGGTTTATTTCTTGCACCTGATCTTGTCTTCACGTCAAGAATAATCCCATTGGAGACAGTGGATTTACATGCTTACAGAACTGTGTAAAGGCACTTGGAGGGTGTCTGTGGCTTGCCCTCATTATTAAATCTGTTAAAGGGGATCTGACTTTGTGAGGGACTCTGGACTTGTGGCTAAGACAATTAGTTAGGTTTGGATTCATAACTTAATGAACCTGTGCAGAACTTTGCCTGTATCTGATCCAGCTGTTGCTTTTCTTTGTGACCTGCATGGTAAAAAGGTACTTTTGTGATGTCCATTGTTCAAAATGGATTCATTCAGTGATGTATAAATACCAAAATGTGGGGCAGAGAATTCTGCAGCACTACTGCATCTTCAAACCATTCGAGGTTACAATAACTTCATTGTAATTGACTCATGCTAAGGATGATAAAAAATTAGGGCTTCTGCTGCTAGCAGATAAATAGCCTGTCCTTTATTTTTAATATATCCTCTCTTCAAACCCTCTGAACATTCAAGTACCTCTCCATTCATGGATAGAGGAACAGCTTGGTCCTAAAAAGTCTTATAAAAGACAGTCAAGCATTTTGTAAAGCTGCAGAACTAGTCTGATGTAATTTTACATGACAGTGGTTCAGATTCATCTCTAAGGCAATGTATTTTCTTTCACTGTTTGGATATTTTTCCCTATCTCTCCCTTTCTTTACAAGGATTTTGACCATCACTGCCCATGGGTCAACAATTGCATAGGACGGAGGAACTACCGCTATTTTTTTCTCTTCTTGCTGTCCTTAAGTACGCACATGATTGGAGTGTTCACCTTTGGGCTCATCTTCGTACTAAACCATATGGAAAAGCTGGGAGCAGCTCATACTACCATTACGTATCCTTCCTTTTGGTCTTTCCAGACTCAAGGTGACTGAGGAAAATGTGTGAGAATGAACCCGAATATTTGTCCTCGGGGAGCTGGCAGAGCCTCTCCTGATCCCCCACTGCTCTCCTCCTGTAAATGCTCAGTGCAGGTTGCCCTCTGTTCCCATTGTACCTGTGTGAACATGGACTGCTCCAGAAACTGTGGCTGACCCTTTGTCTTTCTCAGTCTTTGTCACGACAACCCAGCAGAAGGATGAGCTGCCTCCCTGAATTGGAGCTCTCAGCTGCTGTCTGCTGTGTTTAAAACTCTTGTTGCTGTATTTTGGAGCAGAGTATGCTCTGGAAGTAGCCCCCTGCATGCTGGTGTAACACACTAACTGCTGGCACTGAGGGGTGATACTGCTCTTGATAGATCAGTGCAGAACATTCTTTACAGGGTAGAAAGGTAGAGCCAGGATCGAGTTCACATTACATTTTAACCATCTCAAGGGTGAGGACCCAGACTAGGAGCAGATGGACTTAACTTGCAGATGAAATTTAGTTAGACCTTGCTAAAGGTGAGGGACCCTCTACTCTGCACTCCTAAGACCACACCTGGAGTGCTGGACCAACATCAGAAGGACGTGGAGCTGCTGGAGCAGGTCCAGCGGAAATGCTCAGAGAGCTCGAGTCCCTCTGCTCCAGAGACAGGCTGGGAGAGTTGTGCAGCCTGGAGAAGAGAAGGCTCTAGGGAGACCTTAGAGCTCTTTCCAGTGCTTAAAGGAGCTCCAGGGGAGCTGGAGAGGGACTTTGGACAAGGGTCTGGGGTGAAAGGATGAAGGGGAACAGCTTCAAACTGAAAGAGGGCAGGTTTAGATGAGATACTAGCACGAAATTATTCACTATAAGGCCCTGGCACGGGTTGCCCAGAGAAGCTGTGGCTTCCCTGTCCCTGGAAGTGTCCAAAGCCTGATTGGACAGGGCTTGGAGCAACCTTGTCTATTGAAAGGTGTCCTGTCCACAACAGGGGAGTTGGAACTACGTGATCTTTAAGGTCCTTTCCAACCCAAACCATTCTGACACTGTGACACTCCCTTTTTTTTTTTCCTATTCCTCTCCCTGTCTTTCACAGACTCTTTTTTCCCTTTACTCATCCCAGTTTCTTTAACTCTTGAATACAGAATGGCTGTCATGTGTGTGGCTGGGTTATTCTTTATCCCAGTCATTGGTCTCACTGGCTTCCATATTGTTCTAGTGGCCCGAGGGCGCACAACAAATGAACAGGTAAGAAGCAATCCTTTCTCCATGTTTGTGGCTAAGGTGTTGAGGTGGGAAGGAAAGTCAGCAAGTCAGCTTGGGTAAAGCAAAGGATGGTCCAAATCTTACCAGTAATGCTCTTATTGGAGTTTTTGTGAATATCCAGGAAGATTGCCTATTTTTTTTAATACACTGCAGGCAAAGGTTTCCCTTTTTTAGCCACAGAACATCAGCACAGGCTTATTTATTACTTAAAATCTACTCATGGCCTTGAAATAGGTTTTATGTTTGAGTACCATCAACCCCAGAAGTTTGAACTTTATGAGTCAGACTGAACAATCCATGAGATTGAGTGAAAGAAGGAAAGGAAAAGATTAAATCATTTGCCCTCTACTGGTATTTTGAACTCCCCCAGCAAACCCACACTGTCCATAATAGGTCTGAGTTAGCTCTGTGTCTCCCTCTTGTTCTCATGCATATGAACACACACACACACACACACACACACACACACACACACACACACACACACACACACAGTGCTGTTGACCCAACTTGCTTTGCTTCTCCAAACCAAGTGCCAACATGACACCTTGTGCCAAGAAGCCTGTAAAACTCCAGTTACCCAGGTGTCCATGATGCACAGTCCCTGTGGTTGATGCAGACCTACATTCATGTGATCTGCATACATTCACCCACATTAATGGCTTGGCTTAGGTGATAGAGACAATGTGATGGGATCAGCAACAGGCCCCTGTCACCCCTAGGGATAGTTTGCAGGTGTGGCACTGGTCTCAGCCCTCATCCCAAGGCTCATGAACTCAGTGCATTCCTGTGCTTTACCCTTTCACAACTCCAGCTCCAAAGTGCCCCTCACATCTGGGATTTTTGCACATTTTTCCCCACCAGATTTCTTTTCCCTTGTGGTTTGGGTTTTTTTGAGATGGGTTTTTGCCTCCCTTGCACCCATGGGTGCTCTGCAGCTCCCACTGAGCTGTTTGGCTGTCCTGGGGGCTGATGGCTCCATGCTGTGGAGCTGTCTGGCTCCTGGGCAGGCTGTGAGCATTGAAAACATCTGTCTGAGGCCAGGCCTTCGTAAACTGAGATGACATTGTCTCCATCCCACAAGAGACAATAAAAATTCTTATCCAGAAGAGAGTGTGGGAGGTTTACATAAGCAAGGAATCTGAAGTCATCCTGAGCTGTTGCCTAACATGGCCTTTGAACAAGGCAAGATTCTGTAGCTGTCACCTTCAAATGCTTTTCTCTGTCCTGCTCAGAATGACCTGCTCTTCATTTTAAAATTTATTTTGGCCAAATATTAGGTTTGATAGTGCTAACAATAGTAGCATGAAACACAGAGCATTTTGGTCTCATAGCCCAAATCGTGGTTTGCCTTAGGCTTGTCTTTGTGCAGTGATATAAACTCTCCATGAAGATTTTAGGCTGAAGAAGAAGGAAAAATTTAACTTTAAAAAGCGTAAAATTTCACTTTATGTGTTTGTGGCTGCACTAGAATTTAGAAAGGTTGAGAATTTTTCTGTGCTCAAAATAACTGTTGGAAAATGTATCCTAGCTTGGTTTGGTTTCCTGAGCTACCAAACCACTTGAGATTTAATTCATCTTCTCATGCCATTTTGAAAATTAAATATAATCTGGTCTTAATTTCTGCTTAGTCATATGTAGTGGTTATCTGTAACTGGAGGATGGATGTTCCCAGCCCTGAGGCCCTTTCAGAGGAAGCATATCTAAGTAATTAAAGCACCAGACCAGGAGAGATGGCTATGAGATCTGCTCCTGGCTTTGCCACTGTTCTAAAACATTCTCTTTTCCCCTGCAGTCTTAGTGTTGATTCTCTTTTCTCACACTGGTAGTTATCTACTGTCAGCTTTCCAGTTGCAATATGTTCAGCTTATCTTGTCCTCTTTTCCCAGTACATTTTATAGGCCAGTGGTACAGGCAGTTTTGGATTTTTACTGTAATTTTTTTATATTTATTCATTCTGGAGTTTGTAAGTTCTGAGCACTCATAGTAGGCAGACTGTGATTGAAAAGTGCATAGTAGCTGGGTTTAGATGTTTCTGAGCTTTCTGAATGCCTCTGAAATTCTTTTGTGGAATCAAAATAACCCATAACCCAACATCTGCTCATATCCTGCTATTTTTAGTTTCTGAATAGAATAAATAAATACCCTGCCTTCTTAGACTGCTTTCTACCAGTGGATTTCAAACTACTTTAGAAACCAAACTGATATAATTAGTGCTGCAATCTGTGAGATGGAGAAATTTTATTTTCATACTGTGTTTGAGAAAATGGGCACAGAGATATGAAATGCTTTGCCAGCATCTGGCACAAGTCAGTGTGAGCCTAGGATTGAATGCAGATGTGCCAAATGTCCCAGGCCCATCTTTTCACCAAAAGGTTGCTCTTCCAAGTCTCAGAACTTCCAGCCTCTCTCTCTTGGCCTCTTAAAGAGCTTTATGTTATATCAACAAGGCCAGCATAATATATTGCAGAATCGCTTAATCGTTGTTATTTTATGTGCAAGTTATTAAAGTATTTCTGGTACTCTGTAAACTTGTTGCTAGATCAGAACTATGAGCTGATTAAAATGCTTTACTTGCAAACAACAATAGTAAGGCTTTTAATGGCAACCACTATTAATCTCCCTGGCTTTATTAGTATTTATCCCCATATGGAGACTTTCAAGTATCTGCCTGTAGAGTACAAACTCTTTATAATGCTTATGAAGCCTTGAATGGATCCCACCAGTCTAATGAGGCTTGGCTTTTATTAAACCTGCTCATTTACAAGCAAACATTGTAATCACCAGGGAGTTCCTGGCACCCTCCCACATAAGGCAGTGGTTTGTACTGATTGCTGCTCAGGATGGGATCTGAGAGAGAGGAAACATTGCTCTCATCCAGCATTTGGGAATGTTGATTCAACGTTGTTATTGGTTTGGAGGGGACTTGCCAAGGCAGAGGAGGGGAAGTAACAGGAATGAAAGTGAGCAAAACAGGATGTCTGGCTGGGAGCAGACACAAATCCAGTGCAGGAGCAGCATGGAGAGGTGGACATGTCACTTTGAAACCCAGTCACCTTCAGCAGTGTCCTTTTGGGAAGGATCTTGAGTTGAGTGCCTCCTAGCTGGAATTAGCTGACAGAGATTGTGTTTTAGAGCTGGAGAGAAAAAGTGTAGCATTCAAAGAAAAATGATCTGTTTGGGAAGGACAGAAGGGTCAGACTTGTTCTTGGCTTTCTGAGGCTTGGATGATGACTTTTATATGACCAGAGGTTTAAGCACTGTCCTGAACGTGTCTGCAGGTGACAGGGAAATTCCGTGGTGGAGTGAATCCTTTTACCCGAGGATGCTGTGGAAACGTGGAACATGTGCTCTGCAGCCCCTTGGCTCCCAGGTAAGACAAATGCTCTCAGCTGGGAATGAGGGAGCAAGAGTAGTTGTTGGGACAGGGGAAGAAAATGTGCTTGGTTGGGCTCACAAGCCAAGAATCATTGATGGAATAAGAGGAAAGCAAAGCAAAACAGTCTTGAAGGTAGAGCTTCCCTGTTGCATGGCTGTAATTCACCACCCTTATCCCAGAAATATTTTTTTGGAATGACCTTGTCAAATTATGTCAAGCTCACCCTTGTCTTCACCAGCTTGTTTATCTAGTGGATTTCAGTAACAAGGTAAATATCCATATGTTATCATCTTGCCCTCACAACTTCTTACACTGTACAGGCAATGTCCAGTCTGCTGGAGAAAAAGAAGGAAGCTAAAATCAGCCTTTCTCCTTAAGACTTAAATCTAATTTAAGGCTGCTGTGGTTTTCAATCTCACTGGCACTTTCATTATCATAAAACAGATTATCAATGAGGTCTACATCACGAAACTTGAGATTTTATTGATGGCTTTCTATTTTTGGGGAAATGGATTTATCGTTGCACATTTTGAAATCAGAATCTTAATGCAGTAGATCAGATGGACTATAAATAATTCTAGGCGCTGAGCTGTCCAGCCTGCAAACAGGTTCATAATCTTACTACAGGACTTTTTTGAGCCTTTTTGGGGTGTTGAACAATTCCAGACCCTGACACTCTTATATGCCTTTTTTCCTCCTTTGTTATACAACAAATAAGTCCTAAAGGACTGTTACACGTGTTAAAGACAGTGGAACAGCTGCTTCTCAAACCTTCCAAAATGTGAAAATCAGATCAAGGTGGATGAGAAGAGCTGTGTATTAAACGCTGTGAGACACTTCTGTTAAGAGAGGGGTTGTGAGTACCATCATCATGGCTATTCCCAGAATTATAGCAAGCAGAATATCTGTGTTTTGTGAAGACCTGTTCAGATTGTCCTGTATATTGAAGGCCTCTGAGCCTTCACTACTAGAATGTCCTGTTTACTACATAAAACAAAGAAAGCTGGTGTGTGTATTGATATTTAGGCATTGTACAGCCACTGGCCAATTGCCCTTAAAGAGTTCTACTGCACTGGAGAGAAATTAGATATCTAACGTCAGCCATTTCCTCTTCGATTTTTTGCTTCTTGTCAGTTTTTTTTACCTCCATTTATTTGAACACTAAACATGGTACAGAAACATGTCACCATGTGATAAGTTAGAACTGGCAGCACATCATCTTCTCCATGGTAACTCCCCATGTGCTGACTCTTGTTCCCCCAGTCACTGACTCCCACCACAGGGCAGCTGTTTCATGTTTACTGGGATGATCTAGTCAGTCACTTCTGTTGGTAGCAGACCTGTTTTGCTCTCTTCATGCTCTTGTCAATTAGTGCTTCAAAAATTGCTGATTTTTTTAATGCATCCTCTCCTTTCACTCACTATTTTTTTTTTAATTTCTGCTTAATTATTGCATACATTGAAATAAATGGAGGTTCTTACCTAGATTCTGAAACATTCTTAAATCATAACCTGGAAGTGGGAAGATTTTTAAGCCTTGTTCTTAGGTTACTGTTTATTTTAATGACGACTGTTGCACAATTAATCAGGTATGTGGTTGAGCCAAAGAAAAAGCAAGCTGTGAGTGTGAAGCCTCCTTTCCTGAGACCTGATTTGTCTGAGCGACAGATCACAGTGAAGATCAGTGACAATGGCATCCAAGCCAACCTCAACCGGAGCAAGGTGAGGAAATCTCCAGGCTCTGCTTTTGAAGGGCATGGATTGAGCATTATCAAGCCTGGGAACGAATCTGTCATTGACAAATCTCTTCGAGATGATGCAGAAACTAGAGTTTGAGTCCTTGTCATATACTTCATCCTCTGAAAGTAGCACAGGTTCAGTAAGAGCAGCTCTTGATCCAGTAACAGGCAGCTCTAGAATGGAATCCCTCTGGGCTCCTTTTGGAAGAGTTGGCTGTTCTTTGCAGTAGTTATTTTCTGTCCCAAGAGCTGTCACCTCTTGGTGTTCAAATCAATTTTAATGAACCCTTCTACCACCAGACCAGGTCAGCTGTTCTACTTCAAAGAATGTTCTGAGCTTCCAGGCTGCAGGAAGGCTTGTGGTCCAGGGCAAGGAATATTGACTCAGAAGCTGAGTTCTCTTCTCTCCTCTTCTATTTTCAGTTTCTCCTGGTATGAATAATAGAGAAGGATTTGTTTAATCCCATAAAAAGCGTTGGATTCAAAGGAAGCAAACTTGCAAGATTTTTGTGGATAGTTACTTCCTGCATTCTTTGGATAGTAACTTGCTGAGAGCAACCTGGAAAGTTGCTGAAAAATGCTAGAAAGCAGTATTGTCTTCTACCACATATTAATTAGCATGATGATTATGGTACTTAGCATGCCAAGTAGACCAGGATAGTGCATTTAAAATTCTACTGGCCAGTTATGATGATACTAATTTTACTTGTGAAGTCCTTGCCTGCACTGGATGCTAAATCCTGTTTGTCATTAGATGTAGTTCTGGATCTCTGGTACATCCAGCAGTTCACCACATGCTGTTATTTAACCAAGATGCATGTAATGATTGATTTTTTTTTTTAAATCATTTTCAGTCTAAAATCAGCCTGGAAGGTCTGGAGGATAAGAGTATGGATGTGCAACCACCTCTCCCACCCAAAGGAGATCCAAGCAAGTACTCTGAGCTAAAAGGGCAGCTGGGCACCAGTGAAGGTATAGTTGCATGATCAGTGATTTATTTTTATTAATAAGAAGCTATTTTAGCCTCTTTAAAAGGTTTCTTATATTCTTTCAAAACATGGGATCTGGGTGAAGGATTTTTTTCTATTTATAGGATTTCCAGGCTGGGAGAATTAACAACAGGGAAGGGAGAGAAAAGCCAGCTTGAAGTGGTTCATTCAAGCCTAGGTTGAATATTTCATGTCAGATTTGCAGAGTTTATAAACTCTTTTAGACTCCTTCTTAAATCAATTTTTACATAAAAAATGTCTAAGGAATCTAAGGAATCAGAAATATTAGCATGAAATTCTTAGGCATTGCAAACTACTGTGCCTTGTTTCTTCTTTGTAGATGGCTGATCTGGTAGCAATGTCCTGTAACTGCCTTAGGGACCCCATTGATTTTGGTGGAATGTTACACAAAGTACTGCAAGTTTCATTCTCCACAGAACAGATCAATTTGCAGAGGACCAAGGATGGCAAGGAATTATGGCTGACAGCTTTCTGTCCACACACATTTTAATAGAAAGTACTTTTTTTTTTCTTTTGCAGAAGGTGGCCTCTCACCCAAACTTATCAGCCCTCCTACTCCTGCCATGTACAAATACCGACCAGCTTTCAGCAACAATCCCAAAGTCCACTACCACGCCACGGCCGAGCAGGTGAGCCAGCCCGGGAGTTTCTGCTCCCACCTAACACCCTGCAGTGTGGAGCTGAGGATGAGCCCACTGCAGGGCTCTAGTGAATGTCAGAGAGTAAAAGTAAATAACAACACTTGGCACTGTTGTGTGACAGTGTTGTTTTTTCACTGTGCTCCTTATGGAAACATGTCTGATTTCACAGCTTCCCTGCTGACATGTCTGTCCTGCTGCCAGGCGTGTGCTGCCACTGCTCCAGTGTCTCGGCCTGATCCTGGGATGCTGAGAAGTGTCACCTCCCATTGGCTTCTCCTGGCTGAGGTGCCACCTCACATTCCCTTCAGAGGCAGCTGGGCATGCTGAGTGCTTCTCTAGATCAGACCCTTTAGCCAACACTCCTGTACTCACTGATTCCCTTGTGAAATAGAAAGAACTTTTAAAGCATCTCAAGAGACATTTTAGTGAAAATTAACAGAAGACTCCTCATGTTTGACCTTCCTTAGCACTCATTAAGTGAATTTGGGTTATATAAAAAAAACACCTTCCTAACACTTGGCATCATTTTCACCTATGAGGAAAACTGAGGTCCAAAGAATTAGACAGATTTCCTGTGGACTTTTGACAGTTTTGTCATTTGCTTAGAAGTTATGAAACTTATTTCTCATGGATTTATTGCAAATATTCCTGGTCCCAGGACCTGAGAACAGCATTTGGAAAATCACTTGTCTCACTTGTGTATTTGCAATATGTATCCAAGTCTTCACACACCAGTGGAGACACTCTTAAAAAACACATACCACACACAGTACAGTTTTCTCAAAATTAATTTCATCGGGTCCTTCAGTGTTACCTCTGGCATAACTAGAAGGGGGTGATAGGAAGGAGTATTATGAAAGAAGCAAGGAAAGGAAAACATGGAAGATAAAAATAATTGACTACAGCAACACTGTAATAAGACAGAATGTTCCTTAAATAGTGAGGAAAACTTTTCATGAATCCTTCTCATTTTGAACAGAAAGATGGTAATAGATAGTGGAATTCCAGCTATGACCAAGTTTAAGTTTTAGTCTTACTACAGTAATGGTAAATCTTGTTCTCTGGATTTGTCCACTTAATGAAGAAACGAGTGGCTTATGAAAGGGAACACAAGAACAACAGTGTGTTCACTGTATCCAAAAGTTTAATATCCTATCATTGTCATTTTATTACGTGAAAAATAGCTTGACATCTAGTCCAAAATACTCTATTTACATCATCTAGCAATTTTGAGCTGTGGAAGCCACAGCATTCTGAGTCATAATGCCAAAAGTCAGGGAGCCAAGGAAGGCAGACTTGTTGTGTTCATTCAGTGCACAGCCAGAGATGCAATATAGATACAGGGCAGGTTGTGATTAGGCCAGGGGACTGGGCAGTGCTGTGAAATGATAACAGGGAACAGCTCCTTCATTCTGAGGCTTGCTGTTTCAATCCCAACCCAAAACAGTGCTGTTGCTGACTGGTGTGCAAGCTCTGGGGACTCGTTCAGTTTTATAGTAGTCACAACTCTCTAGTAGTCAGCTGGGAGTATCATAAAATGGGGTTCATGTGGTGAGCTGATGGGAGGGCATGGATTTGCCTGCCAAGTCTAAGTAGGAGGTACAGAGGGAAAGAGACTGGGCTGTATGAGGAATGCTTTGGTGTCTATTCTGTATCAGTTCTTCAGCCTGTCAATGTAATTCTGCTTTTGAGCAGTGAAAGCTGCTAGGAAAGAGGCATTGGGACACGAAGATAAGTAGCACAAATATACTTAAAAGCTACGTCATTGCTCTCATCCTCCTTTACAGGCTGTCACTTGGTCTCCTTTTTCCAGAGAAAGCCAAATTTAGCACCATGCTCTAGAAGAGAGTGAGCTGTTTTGCATATTTCTCTATCTTCTAGCTGAAAGGAAAAAGCTTTTTAAAAAATCCACAATAAACCAGGAGTTTGTCATTCAGTTTTTTCTTTCAATAGTTTTCCTTTAAAAGAAACTAAAGAACAAGCTGTGTCAACTGCATTTCTGGTTAAATAGGTGACTGATAATAATTTGTTTGCAGAGCCACTGTAGCCAATTTATTGTGCATTATGGCAAACTCTTCCTTAAAAATAAGAGGAAAAACTATTTGCTTAGCACAGAATGGCATTTTAAGTGAAGAGAGCTCTGAGCAATTTTCACAGAGTAAAATAAAGTGAAGTCCTATCTGTTTTCAGAGCACATAAATTATGGCCTTTGTTTCGTTTTCTGATGTGACCACTTTCTCCTACGCAGGCAATAAAAAAGAGAAAATTGCTTCATTTTGTTTCTAATGGTGGGAAGGAGCCTCTCTGCTTTAATTAAGGTTAGATGCCTAATTTTGAAGACCTATGACCAGAAATTCAGAATTACTGAATATTCATAGCGCAGAGTAGAGTGGATCAGAGTGTTCTGGTCCCCAGCATGTTGAAATGAATCTCAGAGTATTTCTGTCTCAGCACACAAAACCAGACATTCCTCAGCTCAAAAGCCGTTTGTAGAAAACATGAAGTACAGTGTTTTTTCCAAGGGCAGTATCATCAGATAACAATCTGATTTACCTTGACTAAGTCTTGAGACTCAGCTTGGGTTTCTCATTCAGTGTTTTCAGTGTCCATGTATTAACTTACTTTTTCTTGTCAATATTATTTAGCACCTACTAAGGATAACTCCTCTTGGTTCCAAGGTGCTAATCCATGTGTTGAACAGGAGTCAGGAGATTTTCTGGTAATGAGCCTGAGCTGACAGTCGGAGGGAAGACCTTCAGCTCAGTCCTTCCCATGCACTTACCGAAACGGCAAACCTGTACTTACATGTCACTGGCTTCTATTTCTCATACTCACCTCTGTTTTAGATCACCTTGCAGGAAGGACACAGTCAAGGGGCTCTGATAGAAGAGGATGGCAGGAGCCTCGATTACCAGTCTGAACCCAGCTTGGACATCCCCAGCTACCGGAAGAGCTCCCTCCACAAGACCTATCAGTCTTCCCCACTCCAGATAGATTCCTTTGCCATCAATTCACGATCCCTGAGCCTGAAATCTGCTGGCAGGAGAGGGACAGACAAAGTGCCCCTTCATCCAATAAAGTCTGAAGGGGCGGCTTCCACCCCTTACAAAAGCATCTTTTCTCCCAATTCCCTGTCAAACAGAAATGGGAGTCTTTCGTATGACAGTTTGCTGAACCCCATGTCTCCCTCGGGGAGGAAGTGCATTGCCCATTCTGCAGTCAGCTCTGTCGGGTACCACTCCCCATATTTGTCAGCCAAAATGTGCCACCTCCGGGGCAGCGAGCTGCAGCGCCAGGCACCGCAGAGCTTCAGCCCGGTGCTGGGGAGCCCCGCCCCGCATCAGCGAGACCCCTCCCCAGTGCGCTATGACAACCTTTCCAAGACAATTATGGCATCCATCCAGGAAAGGAAAGAGATGGAAGAGAGGGAGAAGCTCCTCCACTCGCACCCCGACTCGGTGTTTGCAGACTCGGGTGTCTATGACACGCCCAGCTCCTACAGCCTTCAGCAAGTGAGCACGCTCTCGGAAGACCCGCGCAGCATGGCCATGAGATACGGATCCAGGGACAATCTGATGGCTGCCACCAGCTTTAGCACAAGGAACCCTATACTGCAGTCCTCAGTGTCTTCACTCTCGAGTGCAATGACAAGAGCACCAAGGACTTCCACAACCTCTCTGCAAGCTGATTTAGCCAATAATAATGTGCAGTCCCATCAAGCACTACAGGGCAGGGTGAGCAATGGCTCCTACAAATCCCCAGGCCACCAAGTCCCATCGTCCCCCACAGGGATGCCTAGGTCACCCTCTTACGGAGGCCCAAAGGCTGTGTCGTTTGTAAACACTGTGGAAATTACAGAGGTGCAATCAGTGGGAGCACAGAGGTATGTACTGCTTGAGGGGCTGAGAGCAGTGGGGATCTGCTTGTGAGCAAGGGCAGAGCGCTGTGCTGGAGGCACAGCCCTGATCAGGTGTTTGCTGTGGGCCACCACGGAGGGAGGTTTGTGAATGCTCTTCAGTTCTGTCACACCCCCACAGCAACCTCACCATGACAAAATGTTTGCACTTCTGCTGTACCTTGAACTGTTAAGTGGTCAGTTTTGCTGTAAATTCGTAGTGATAGAGTATCGTGGCTGAACTGGGGAATTATTTCCAAGGTGTGAGGCAGATTATCTCTCTCCTTAGGCACAAAAGGGTGGAGCTGTTTTAGTTTGCAGCCTGAGGGATGCTGACCCAGACATTGCACGGATACAGAGGCAGAGCTGGGATCCTACTGGGAACGTACCCTGCTCTGAGGGAATCAGGCTGAGACCAGTCCTGGTGCTTGGCTTAGAGAGCTCTGGAGCTAGTAGTGTTGAGTGTCCACAGTACAGAACTGCTGCTAAAAGCACAGAGCTTCATGACATTACCTTAAGGCCTTGCTGCTTTCTTCCTTTCTGTCAGAAAGCATGGAGAGGATTTGCTGTGCCAAAAGCCTCAGTAACTGCCACCTTAGCAACATCCTCAGCTGCAGCTTCTGCATGTGCTTCTCTTTTCCTTCTGGAAGCTTCAGGCTTTGCTGTGGAACTTGCAAAGCCTGAAGAGATCATGATCTCCCTGAGGATGCAGTATTTCAGCTTAGTTGGGACCTGGAGGGCTGCTCTTCAGAAATATCTAAGTTTCCTTTGTATCTGGTACTTGCTGCGCTGTGCTGGCCTCTGGTTAAGGTGCCACGTTTCTCTCTCCTGTTATCCAACAGTTTTGGAAGACTTACTGAAATGTGGGAGAGCCATTATTTTAGATCTCTGAAGATCTACTTAACTGAAATTAAGTGCCAGAAAGTTGTTTCAGAGATGAGCAAAAAGTTTTGTTTACCTGAGAAATGTTTTGGTTTTTTTTTTCCTGAGAAATTATTTCTGATTTTAAAACAGAGTTTGGCTTGAGGTCAGTGGTGAGCAGTGGTGAGTTAAACCCTCCTGCATCCTACATATGCCTATGCAATTAGTTTGGATCAGCAAAGCATTTAAGCAAGTAGTTAAACGAACAAATATTACTGGGGCATGGTCCGCTAACCTAATGGCCAAATTAATTCTCTCATTTCAGTGGCCTTTCATTGAGTGCACTGGCTTCAACCAGCTTGCTTCCAGGCTTGAATATTTTGCAATGCTAGGAACTCAGGGTGACAGGGGTAATTGTTTACTCTGAATGAAGCCATTCTGATGTTACACTTTGTCACTAATATTGCATCTTTTGATATTTCTTTTGATGTAGGGATGACATGCAGTTGAAGACACCTCACAGTAAAATAAATGGACAGCCAAAAGGAATAGCCAGGTTGGGTTCAACATCAAGTTCCCAGGGGACGCCTGTCAGCCCTGCTAGACACTCAAATGTTAAGAAGGTGTCTGGAGTTGGTGGAACAACCTATGAAATTTCAGTGTAAAATAAAATGAATTAAAAACAAAGAGCCATCCACTCAGCCAGCCATGAAGCTAGGAGCACTGTGAAGACTCAAATAACAACAAAGAAGGAGCAGCAGCAGTCGGCCACTCTCCTTTTCTTGTTTTGGGTTTGTTCTGTTTTCATCTTTCTCTTTTGGCCAAAAACCAGCTGCAGCCTTATTCTTGAGGGAATAATAGAATTGTACAGTCTATCGACTCTTCCTGAACCGACAGGCGGGAACTGGCTACGACCTAAGACCACCACAGAGCGGATTTCCTTCCTGCAAGAGAGCGCTAAAGCCATCGTGCACGTGTCTGTCCAACCACTCTGTTGTGTCCCAGTCGTGCTGTGAAAAAGTACAGTCAGTCCAGGATCAGTCAGTTTTCCCATGCCCCTTCCCAGTTCTTCTGGCCAGCGATGTGTCCAGCAGGAGCCAGAGGACCAATGCTGTTTTCCTGCTGACATAGCAAGTAGGGTCCCTACGCTGGGCAGGAGCTTCTCCTTGTCCCCTGGGCACTGCAGCTCAGGTTCCTCCTCCTGGGAAGGAGCAAGGCAAGGCCACTTGGGCTGCAGACACCACGTCGTCTTTAAAAGTCTCCCTGGTCCCAGATGGGGGCAGGAGGAAGGATAGCAACAGCTTCTCCCTGCCTGCCATTGGCCTCCCTGTGTGTGAAGTTGTGTGTGTGCGTGCGCGTGTTTGTCTCCATGGAAAAGGACCGCAACACCGGCGAGGATCTGCCACTCTGACCTCCTGCTCCCTCTGGGTTTGAAAGGCTTCTCTGACCCAGAAACAAAACCAGGCAGATAAGAAAGGAAATGTTGGATGGAAACGTATTTTAACCAGCTGTCAGCTGCTTTCCCTGCACCCTCCTTACCTGTTGGATTTAGGCAATAACAGAGTTTACTGCCTTGCCCTGGTGCCGTCAGTGTAATCCCGCAGCAAGGTTATCATGAGCTGTCGAATTCACAGTGTGTGTAACTGAGCCAAGCGTGCATCTAAAGGATATAAATTTTCTGTCTGCCTAATTACTAGCACATTCCCTCTGGTCTTCAATACTGTTAGACAAAGGATTTTCAATTTGGGTTTTCCCCCCTGGGGAACAACTTTTTAAAATAATATCAATCAAATCTATTTAACATTCTGAGGTTTCTTTTTCCTGTCTCCAGAAAACTGCATTTACTTTGTTGGATTTAAAGACAACTTCACCGTAAAAAACAAGAAAGGGGTGCATTACTTTTGCCAAAAATATGAGGACTCTGGCAAAACTAATTTTGGGACAAATGGATTTTTATTTCTCTGTTCCTTCTCTCCTTTTCCTTACCATTCAGTTACCACCTCAGAAGTCAAAAGTACTGAGATCTGGACCAATGCTAACTAGCCAGATCATGTGTGCAATTAAGAATATCCTGAGCGACTGTTGCCAAAGTCACTAAAAATTATTATTTATCACTGAGCCAGTCAGCATACAAGACCTCGACTTCCCACCTGGTTCTCTTGGTGAATAGTTTTGATTAGAGATCTAAATCCATCATTTTTCAGGATATTTGAAAGGGGTTGAAATCCTTTACAGTCCTTGACTATAATGGAAAGCTCTCCAGGTATTTGGTAGCAATTCAGAATGTGTTTGTAACATCTTATTTGTTTTCATGTATGTTGAGGTTAATTATTCCAGAAGGCAAATATTGACCTTAATTTTGCCTGGTTAAAATTTATATTTTGATTTGATGAATCTTGACATCTGCTGCAATACATGGTTATTATGTCCCTTGTATATCACATTATTTTTTGGAGACAAAGGTTGAAGAGAACATAAGAAAGTTAATCATCTCTCTGTGTAATGCTCTATGTTGCCTGAAGGGAGAAACATGGAAAACAATGCATCTGCAATAGGCTGAAGTTCTGAGGGAGTGAAGTAGAAATCAGTGCATTTTATTGCCTTGATGATATTTTAAATGCCTGGTGTAGGGATGCTGCAGAGCAGAGAAGCAATAGTCTTTCTATGCAGATTTGCTCACTGACATGTAGAGCACTGTCTTTAGTTGAAGGCACCATGGTACCAGAAGGATGCTGGCAAACTGCATCAGGTACAGATGGAGCAATATATATTAAAGAATTGGATGGGCTGGCTATTGAGAAGATTTAAAGGGCTAAAACACGGCACTGGCTAAGCAATGAAGTGGAAATTGAGTATCATAATTTTACAAATATGTTACTTAAGAGTTGTAAAACCAAAGCTAAATCAAAGGGTTGTCACTGGTAACCAATGGTCTACATTTAGAATGGGGCAGAAAAGATGGAGAGGAAGAGGCAGTGGAATAGTCTTCCAAGCAGAGTTTTGGATGAACTGTTTAGGACAGTCAAACTGTATTTGGACAAGTAATTTAAAAATTTCTGAGAGGTGAGCCTGTAGGGACAAGGGGTAGACCAGATGGCCTTACAGATTTCTTCCATCTTCAACTGTTATTAATCTGCAGTCTACCCTGATGTTAACTCCTCAGGAAGATGCAGTACTTTAAGGACTGGAATTCACTCTGGTGCATAGAGTATCACAAGAATTACTTGTTTTTAAAGTATCATGTATGCCATATGTAAGCCCTGAAGAAGAGGGGGTATGAAACACATGGGATTAGGGAGTGAGACAAGGGCACATTTTATCATGTATCTTTGAATACGTACATGAAATTCATGCAAGCAAGGCTGAAAATTTGCACCAATGTAATATTTGAGATTTGCATCCCAGTGATGCTCCACTTTGATCGTTCTTTCTCTTGCATTTATAAATGAAAAAGCTACTGAGGAACTTGAAGGGCCAAAGAGCCTTTGAAGTTAACTACATTAGTTCATGAGAGAATTTCTCAGTAAGACTAAACACAGTATTGTGTGTATAAAGCACTAATATCCAGGGTTATTTTGACATAGTTCACAAGGGGTAAGGGAGAAAAAAAGGATGCACTGTGTCAGTACAAGTTCAGCAGTAAGGATTATGTATTTTGTGAGTAGTTTTGCCCACAGTTGAGAGACATTCAACTTTTTCATAGGTTTACAATGGTACCAAAGTCTTTTTTTCTTTTTTCCTTTTGAGGTTTGCATTTAATTCAGTGCACATAGCCTGGAGTAAATTATTCAGATTTTCTAAAAGAATAATCTAAGCAGAACTGTTAACAGGAGATTGCATGCAGCAAATCCAGCCTCATTTCCATCCAAGGCACTGAACCTGCAGCTATTTACTCATAAATGTAAGTGTCTGTTCCATAGTTCCTGTTATGGGACTGGGGACCTATTTATTAAATCTAATTTTTGAGCAGAATCCAGCCCATATTAAAGTATAGTTCTTTCAGCAGTTTACAGATCACCAGTAAGGTTCTTCTGCCCAGATACCCGTTTTTACAGACACTGCAGGCCAAATCTTCAGCTGGTATAAATTGGTGTGGCTCCATGAAAGCTCATTTAATTGATGCTAATTTATAGTAGGTGGGGATCAGCCAAGAAAATCCAGCATGAGTTAACACATCCTGTAAAGTAGCTTCTTTATTTTTGTCATGCTTATCACATGTTTCAAAAGTCTTAAATATTTTCAACATGTTTTTATTTGTAGCTGTGGATTGTATTACTTATTTAAAAAAGAGCAATAGGTTTTTTTAGTTTACGCATCAGTTTTCGTTGCATATTGCATTTTATTATCTGTTTGTTCCCTGTTCATACGCTCCCATTTAGCCTCCAGGTTTTCATTGTAGTACTTTTCTGCCTTGAAAAGTTGGATCTCTATATCTTTAATTGTATAATATATTGAGTATTATGGAATTAAATGTACCTTACTACATGGGTGGGAGAGAGAGAAAATATTTTTACTTGAAGCCTTAATATTTTCTTTTTTTACTACTTTGTTTGTTGACCTCATAGGAAAGTCTGAATAGCAAAGACTTTGAAACTCCGGGCCAAATACTGCACTGACAGACAACCAGCATTTGGCCCCCATGTCAAAACTGGATGCAGACATAACCTGAAGTGAACAAGGGAAAAAGCCTCAGGGTGGCATATTTTCCTGAAGATCATTAATACAGTCTCAAAACATGTCTGTAAGCAAGTACATTAAAGAAGTCTTCAAGTCTTGAATTTTTAAGGAAGGTGATAGCAGGAACTACCCTAAAATCTTTACATCTGCTTTTTTTTTTTTTTTTTTTTTTTTTTTTTAATTAAGCAAAACAAATGTATTTACTCAGTTTGGTTCAGCCAGCTCGGGGGGTTGCACAGAGCTCTGTGTTGGTGGCCATGTGCAGCACATGAGCTGTGGGGTGTTGCTGTTCTAATTCTAACCAAGCGTGAAGTTGTGTCAGCTCGGCCCGTGAGCATCCCTCCCGGGCCCTACAGTGGACGTTCCTCAGATGATGCCTACTCTCCTACAAGCCTAATATGGAAATTGCAATGTGGTTTTCTTTGGACTATATCTGTGGTCCAGACTAGAGATATATAGAGAGATATATATATAGTCAATATTTTTTTGTGTGTGTGGGAAAGATGGGGTCAAGCTTTTCTGTCTCTGACAGTCTGGAAAGTTAATGTCGAACCGTTTTTATGGTCTGTATTTCACCTGTTCTGCCACCTTGAATTGTTGGAATGTATCCGTGCAGGCTTTGTGGAGCTCTGTCTGTAACCTTTTTTGTGGCTCTCGTAATACATATATATTTTTTAAACCTTTGAGTCACTTCAGTATTTTCAAGTGTCCATTTCTGCCTCAGATGCATTCATTTGCTGAGATGATTCACAGTGGGCTGCCCTTTCTCGCTTCTACTTGTGCCAAACCTGAACTGGAAGAGCAGAACTGGAAAGGCCAGTTCCAGTGCAAAGGACAAAACTGACAAAATATTAGAAGAAGTGACTGCAGGTTAAATCTCATTTTCAAGATGCCTCTGGTAGAGTAGGAAATACGGTGAGTCTTTAAAAGATTGTCTCCCAATTGTGACCAATGAATCACGTGTGGGAGGTCACAGCAGGTGGTTCATGAAACAACACTAAAGGAAGTTTTCTGTCCTGTTTATTTAAGTTGTGGGGTTAATAGGGATCCTGTGGTCCAGCACAGTTTTGAATCACTGCCACGGAGTAACTGGAAAAATTTTTATATTGGTATTTGTTGAATACATTCTGTCCAGGTCATCTGGGTTTATAAATCCCAAACATGTGCAATTCTTAATCTGCCTTCATCTGTCTCTAGTTTCTAGTCTTTGGAAATATGTCCATTTGATCTGTCAGACTGTCTTGCAACACATGCAGCTGCCAAGCCCTGCAGCTGCTGCAGGATTTCTGATGCCATAATTTGCATATATAGGCTAATTGCATTAAGCAAGGATCCACTCGAGCATGTTCATTATAAATGCCAGGCATATTTGTGTGCTGTTGTGTCTTCACGTGGCAGAGATTACCTTTTATATAAAATGGCCCAAACTGTAATCACCAGGCTCCAGTGGTGTTTGCTACATCAAGCAGGATTATATAAGGACATGATCTGTTTCAATACATTTTACTTAAACATATCTTGGCTTACAGCAATCTCGGCTTTCCTCTCTCTAAGTAATGGGCAAATGATCCAATTTTGTATTTCATTTTTTCATTGTTGTTATTTTTCATTCTGCAGGACAAGTTTAGGTTCACATATTGGAACATAATAAGGAGAGACAAAGGAAACTATTTATACAGGTGAATGTGTCTTTTAAGAGAGAATCAGTTTTACAATAAATAGAATATATTAGAAATAGATTAGAATTACTGTCAAAATTGGTTTTGTTCATCTTGTCACAATAACCTGAAATTAAAGTAAGGCTTATTTCACAGCTGATATCTCTAACCCTGAAACATTTTAAAAATGTTTTGCTTAAACATTTCAAATTATATGAAGAAATATGATCTACTTTTACAGATTAAAACAGTACTGGAGAAGTGATGGTACATTTTACAGTGCCTTATATATATGTGTATATATTTATATGTATATATATAATGCCTTTATGTCTATAATGTATATGTAACTGTGGACATAGAGTTAAGTAAAACTAGTTACAGCTGTCTCTCTCTGATGTATTTTAAATGGAACTGATCTGTCTTGATAGAAAAAAAAAAAAAGGTTGTATCAGAAGCAAAATACAAAACTGAAATTACTTTAAGAAAATGTAAGCAAATAAAGTAGACTGGAAAGACTCTTTCTGCCAGTGGTTATGTTCCAGGCCATGGAAGACTGGTAGACAGATCCACCATTTTAAGAGATACTCAGAGAGAAGGCAAAGCAGTGCTGGAAGCTTGGAGAAAGTGGAGAATATGTAAGAGCAGCTTTCTTTACAAGTTATGTTGTGTTGCCATCCTGTTCACCTTTTACATGTCAATCTCTTCTGTGGATTTTTCAGACAGTAATTTTGCCATTTGTTTGCAAGGAATATAAAGCACTGACATAGCCTGTCCATGTGATGTTAGATGTAGGATACCCCTGACCTGGGATGGACAGTGAGCACTGTGGGCAATGCTGAGGTTTAATAATATTTCTAGACCATATTAAGATACTCTGTCAATCTGCTCCTCATTATTTAAAGTAATTTCTGCCTTTTTGGGCATGGGCCAGTTGGATCAGACTACATGGTAGAAGTGCACAATGTGGCTTAGGCAGCAGATTCTGCCAGACCAGGAGCTTTTCCAGGAGTTTAGTTGCATTGTAGAAAAAAAAGAGTACCACAGGTAAGTCTTTTATTTAAAAAAATATCCCCTTTCTGAAATAAAATTATTTTACAAACATTAGTAATTCAAAAATCTTTCTTTCAGCAGACTTTGTGAAGTACCTGCCATGTAAAAGCCATAAATGCGATGTGCTGCCTTCTGAGGGATATTTCACACCTTTTAATGTCCACCCTCCATGGGCCTTGGACTGTCCATTTATTTTTTCAGTAAGGGGTAAGAGCAGGATTTTCAAGGGTTTATTTGAGCATTGTCTGTGTATGTGAAACCCTCCCACTGAGCTCAGTGGTAACTGAAAGAAATAATGGGAAGGATATGTGTGGGTAGCCAGAGAAATGGCAATGCCTGGAGTGGAAAAGTCACCTTCCATACAAGTGAAGAACTGTCCTTTAGTTAGCATTGCTGTTTTGGAACTAAAGAGTGCTTTTAGGTTTGGCTTCAATAAACCTTACCTTTACACACAGCCATGAGGACTCAATGTCGGGCTTTGAGCCACCAGAATCACAAGGTTTGATACCCCAAATGAACACCTAAAACGAGGATTCCTGTTTTAAGAATAACAATAACACATCAAGCTCATGAGTGCCATGCCTAGCTCACACTGAAATCTTACTTCCCCTGAAATCAGTGGTAGTTTTTCCTTTAAGATGAATGGTGCCTCGTTATACTTGACATGTCACTGGGAGTGGCACCCACAGGAATTTGCTCACTGCTGTAGTTTATTGACATTAGGACTTTTTCAAGGCTCTAACTTGTAGCAAATCAAATACTTACCATCTTTTTTTCTCACAACAGCACAAAGAGAAAAGTGGAATTTCATAAACACATCCCATGCTGGGGTCCGCTCTATTTTTAATGGAACTTCTGTCCCTACTCCACAGAACAGAGATAGTCTTCATGGAGGGATTTTTGAGTGGCAGGCAGCAAGGAGGAATTTGGGATTAGTAGTGGAGCAGCAGTGTGGGCTCTTCTGCCTTTTGGCTTGTCCTTTCATGCAATGTGCAGGGGAGTGGTTCCTGGGCAGTGGTTTCCTCCTGTATTCACTGTTCCCATGGATATGAGGTGGATGGCTCTTGGTGTGCCAGTTTCACACTCATATAACTTGAAATCCTCTTTCAGTTCCATAGGAGCAGAGCACATGGGGATCTTTGGGTCAGAGCTGACTGGAAGCTCATAAAATTGCTTTATATTCTGGTTCTAGTCACAGGCACAGGTGGTTTAGCAGAATACAGCTTTGCTGTCAGCTTTTTCTCTTGTACAGTCATTGGAACAGATGGTGAAAGGATTGTCGAGGGGTTTTTTTACATACAAGCAATGCTACTTTTTCTTAGGAAAAACACATCTTGTGGAAACTGCAGTGTCTGAGTAAATTCAGTGAGTAACAGCATAATCCATATTTTGCAGCCCGTATATTATGGATCCATCTGGCCTTGGGATCAACCCTTACTGTCTCATTGACAGATACCTAAAACAACAGACTTAAAAACAGAGAAGTAAGTAGTTATAAATAGGTGGTACTTGGTTATGACTAATTTTTTGGCCACACTGTGACATAGTGGAGACAAACTGCTCTGTTGTTGACCACAGTCTCCTCCATCAGAATTCACATTTTTGCACTGCTGTTGTTGGGAGCTTCTCAGCATTGAGCTGTGACTCACAGTGACAGAGGTGCCAGCCAGATGTTCTCCTCCAAACATGGACTGCACGTGAGGCACAAGAATGGGCATCAGGCATCCTGGCACCAGTTCCTGACCCCAGTGCAGATTCCTGCTGCCTTGTTTGTCTTTCTGTGCCTCTTTGCTCCATGTTGGATGGGGGATCTGACTTCTTGACTCACAAATGGGTTGTGTTTGTAGGATGCTCAAGCCCTACTGCTCTGCAATCAGCTCTGCAGCTGAAGTCAAGCAGATGCTTCCCATAGGTATCCTGGAGAAGTCGGGAATTTTTGGGGCACATTTAGCCTCAAATGAAAGCATCACTTAGGTCATGTACTTGAGCAGAAAGTTTTTGGGTGTTTGTGATGGGTGTTGTTGACAATAATCTTGGTATTTCACACTGATTTTGGAAAGCTGTTTTAGTAAACAGATAAAATACATTTCTGCCTTGATCCTTCCATTGACCCCCTGCATATTTCCTATAATCCAAAGCCTCTGTACATTACCCACTCAGCACAACCCTCATTCCAAGAGACCATATGCTTCATTGCCTTAAGCAGTTCTGCTCTTCCCTGCCTGCTTCTTGGAGCAGTTGTACATATATATAATAATAACTAAAATGACTGAGCAGAAATACAGTAAAAGAAATAGCTGTAGCTTGGGAATGACCTCGAAAAGGGAGGACACTGTGATGTGCTGGTGAGGCACAGAACACATCAAGAGCTGAGTTCCACAGTCATTGACATGTCGTGGGCAGCTGAGGAAACTCAGCCTTTTGAGAGCAAGGACTGAGCTGCTGTGTTGCCATGTGAAAAATGTTATTAATTCCTGTCTTTCTTCTGTGTCTGTTTTAGTGTTGTACAGAAGTACATATCCATTTGTCTACATTGCCATATTAACAGCACATAAAGCTTGTAAAAGATGGAATAATGTCTATTGTTGCACAAAATTATTCCTTTTCTAGTATGGTCTTTAACTCGAGGAGCAGGAATCAGATGGAAACTACTAATTCCTGGGATTTTAACACAGGAAAGCACATCCTGATTTAAGGAATAGGAAAAAATAGGTATGTCCATGTGTAAACAGAAGTTACATGATTTCATTTAAGTGTAAAGGCAAAAAAAATTGTTTCCACTTAATTGAAGAACAAAACACTTTTTTAAACATGTAAAAACCTTCATATGGATGGATATCATAGAAATTTAGATTATTTCTCCCTCATTTTTAATATCATTCTCTACGAGTCTTTTCATTTATTTTTGAGAATAATATTTTTTATTATATGTATTCTAAGGATATTTCTACAGCTTCTGTTTATGTATCTCTGAAGCCCTGGATGCTGCAGGACTGCATTTCAGCACTGGGACACAAATGATGGAAAGAGTCCTTTTTGGGCATTAGAGACTTGGGGTGTGCTCTCTGATTTTGATTCAATTCTATATGTATAAATATATATATACACTCTGCTACTATTATTAGCAAGCTATTATTAGTATTAGCTACTGTTATTATCCCCTGCATGGGTTGGGAAAGCAGTGCTCTCCTGGCTTGCGTTGATATTACTTGATTTTTGAGGCCGAGTTCCTTGGATGCTCCATGACTGCCTAATCCTATGCTTAAGGATAAATTCATCACTTGAATCCTACAACTAGTGACTTGAATAACTTACACTAATGTGCTGCTCAGACTGGCTCAGTGCAGCAGGCTGATTTTCACCTGAGGGTCCTTAACATTTCCCTAGGAAATGCATGAATACATTAGCAGAAATTTGATGGAATAAATTCAGTAACATCATTTGGAAGAGAGAAAGAGCCACAATGCCGTTTTGTCTGATCTATACCTATAGCAATTTCCAAGTTGTTACACACACACATATAAATGTACACATACATTTTTATATATGTGTGTGTGCTCAGATATTTATAAAACCAACCACAGCCTTTCAATTGTGTGTGCTGTGATTCATCAGCAGCAATAGTTTTTGGCAGGGACATAATTTCAAATCTTCTGCTGAGGATGCCTGCCAAAACGTTGTTGGACAGAGATAGGAGGAGGAAAGTTATTTATAAATGGGGATAATTAGGTCCTATGCTTATTAGTGTTGAGGATGAGACAGAAAGACGACATGTGTAGTAATGAGTATTGTAATATGAGAAGATACTCTCAGTGATTTTCTAATTGTTGAGGGAAAAAAATTAAAAAAAACAAAAAAACCTCTCAGGTGAAATAACATCATTATGTGCTGCTCTCAGCTATGAAATTCAGACTGGGAGTTTGTGGACTATCCTGCAGGAGAGGTCTCAGAGTAATGGAAGCTTGGAATACTTCCACAAGATTCAGGTGCTGACTGAGCACCTGACTGATCCAGGTCATAAGTGAGATTAAATTCTGTTTACTCAGTCCTGGACTTTGCATTTTGTGTTCAGGCAAAAACAAATCCTGATCAGACGTAGGAACTGCATTAAGTCCTCTTATGTGGAAGCAGTGCTCACAACCACACCGTCAGGAGAGAGCTCAGTTCTGTCAGCAGAGGCAAGGCTATTTCTGTATTCCAGCAGTCATGTAGATGTATGTATCACTCCTTTTTTTCTTCAAGAGATACTGTCACTGGGACAAATTCACCTTTCAACTGGTATTCACTCTAGAGGTATAAATCTGGTGAGCACAGTGTGAAATTCCTCTCTGCAGGGTCTGGAACCCGTGCTCACACAGACTCTGCACAGCACCCAGGACACTGCTCTCAGCCAGTTACTACAGAAAACCGGTCACACAGTGAGTCAGGAGAATAGCAATTTATATTTAAGATGTCTTAGCTCCTGGC